CATATCAAGTCATCTCAAATCTTACCATTGCAAATCTTATAAAATTATATCATACAATTTCTAATCATAAGATTTCTTATCATATCATATCATATCATATCATATCATACTTAATCATTTCATATCATATCAAATCATACACCATCATAACAAATCAAACCACATCATAACAAATCATATCATATCCAATCACATCCAATCATGTCTTATCATAACATATCAGATCAGATCAAAATAAATCAAATCATATCAAACCAAACCATATCAAACCAAATCATTTCAATTCAAATCATATTTTATCAAATTATATCATTCCATTTCATATCATATCAAGCCAAATCATATTATATCATATCTTAACAAACCAAATCATTTTCTATCAAATCATATCAAATCATATCATATCATATCACATCATAACATGTCATATCGTATCAAACCAATTCGTTTCAAATCAATTCATATCCTATCAAATCACATCGTTTCAAATCATATCACATATTATCAAGTCATATAATATCATATCATATCGATTCATATCATATGTTAACGCATCAAATCTTTTCTTATCACAAAAATCACATCATATCATGTCATATTATATCATATCATCTCACAACATGTCAAATCATATCATATCATATCATATCATATCTTATCAAATCATTTCTTGTCATATCACATCATATCACATCACATCAACAAATTTCGCATCAAATCCTGTCACATCATATCGTATCATATCATATCATATCATGTCATTTTATATCAAATCCTATCTTATCATATCATATCATATCATATCATATCATATCATATGGTCTCACATCATATTATAAGTTGTCCAATCAAACCATTCGATATCATATCATATCATATCATATCATATCGTATCATATCATATCATATCATAACATATCATATCACATCACATCATATCAATTAATATCATGTCAAATCTTATCATATCATATCATATCATGTCAAATAATATAATATCATATCATATCAATTCAAATCTTATTCTATTATATAATATCACATCAGATCATATCATATTATATCATATCATATCATATCATACCATATCATTTCATATCATACCAAATCATATCATATCATGTCATCTCATATATCGTACCATTTCAAATCATATCAAATCATATCATACCATTTTTAATCACAAGGTTTTCTTATCATATCTTATCATATCATTTCATATCATATCAAATCAGATCAAATCTTATCATTTAAACTCATATCAAATCATATCATATCATATCTTATCCTATCAAATCATATCATATCATATCATATGCTAACAATTCAAATTATATCAGATCAAACCACGTCATAACAAATCACATCATATCTATCACATCGAATCACTGATATCATAACATATCATATCACATCAAATGATACCATACGATAACATACCACATCAAGTCAAATCATATTCTATCATATCATATCTTATCATATCATATCGCATCATTTCATATCATACATATCATATCAAATCGTATCATATCAAATCATATCAAAACAAATCATTTCAAATCAAATCATATCGTATCAAATCATATGAATTCATATCAAATCAATTCATACCATGTCATATAAAATCATATCAAATCAAATCATATCATATCATATTGTATCATATCATATCGTGTCACGTCATGTATTGTCATATCACATTATATATAATCACTTCAAAGTATATCATATCAAATAATATCACATCAAATCATATCATATAATATCATATCATATCATGTCATAGCATATCAAGTAATCTCAAATCTTACCATTTCAAATCTTATAAAATTATATCATACAATTTCTAATCATAAGATTTCTTATCATATCATATCATATCATATCATATCATACTTAATCATTTCATATCATATCAAATCATACACCATCATAACAAATCAAACCACATCATAACAAATCATATCATATCCAATCACATCCAATCATGTCTTATCATAACATATCAGATCAGATCAAATTAAATCAAATCATATCAAACCAAACCATATCAAACCAAATCATTTCAATTCAAATCATATTTTATCAAATTATATCATTCCATTTCATATCATATCAAGCCAAATCATATTATATCATTTCTTAACAAACCAAATCATTTTCTATCAAATCATATCAAATCATATCATATCATATCACATCATAACATGTCATATCGTATCAAACCAATTCGTTTCAAATCAATTCATATCCTATCAAATCATATCTTATCAAATCATTTCTTGTCATATCACATCATGTCACATCACATCAACAAATTTCGCATCAAATCCTGTCACATCATATCGTATCATATCATATCATATCATGTCATTTTATATCAAATCCTATCTTATCATATCATATCATATCATATCATATCATATCATATCATGTGGTCTCACATCATATTATAAGTTGTCCAATCAAACCATTCGATATCATATCATATCATATCATATCATATCATATCATATCACATCACATCATATCAATTAATATCATGTCAAATCTTATCATATCATGTCATATCATGCCAAATGATATCAAATCAAATCATATTATATCAAATCAAATTATTAACGTAACATATCCTGCGATACCATGTCATGTCATATCAAATCACAGCATTTCCTATCACATCTTATCATATCGTTTTCAATCAAATACTATCATATCATATCATAGCATATCAAATTATAACATATCCGTTTAAATCTTGTCATATCATATCATATCATATCATATCATATCATATCATATCATATCATATCATATCATATCATGTCAAATCGCACTACGTTTTACCATACCACATAAATATGTCCAAAATTAAATGGAATAACCGAGTTTTTGTTCTATCGAATGAAAAAGGGGGAGAGTTTTGTATTCGGTTGTGTTTTGATTTGTTTTCTTCCTATTCTTTTTTTTCCACGCAAAATTAAGTACCACAAATTATAATCTGAATGGTCCGAGTGGTATATCATAAAAATCCTTTTCAGTCTTGTTTTGAAAGACTCTGAAAAAATTTTAAAATTTTTTTATCAGTGCGAGAAAAATCGGTTTAAAGTTTTTGTGTTTTAGTCAAAGTTCGAGCGAGTAAAGCAATCGAACAAAATTAGTTATATATGATAATCAGCAGCAAATAATGAAGTAGAATTGTTTTACTTATCCTACTGCTTCTGGGGCATATTTGGTTGATATTTTTTGTAAAAGTTTTTTTTTCTTTTTTTTTTCGTTTATTTATTTTTTGAAAACAATTGTAGTCGTTCATGCTGAATTCAGCTCTTTTTTATAGGTTGGTAAAGTTCTATCATTACACGACGCCTAAGAAAAGACAAGTTTAGAAAAACTGAGAATGTGGTGGAACATTCTGTGATATTCTTGTGTTATGCTTGCTATACTTAAGGTTATCAATGGTTTGAGCTGCTGAGAAATTTTTTTATTAGAAATCAATCAGAGCTTAGCAATTATCATCGAACAAAAATTTCAAATGTTTGCGGCCACTTTTTTGATTAACCGTTCGATGTTTGATAAACAGTTTATATATCTTGTAACAGTGGCTGTTCTCATGAACGAGAGAACGACTGATAGAAATTTTTCAGCCTATCAGAATCGTAGAAAACCGTGTCATAATCTTAAATTCTACATGATTACTGCAGTAAGTCGGATACGAAATGGACACACAGAAAAAAAGTATCTCCCTGTAGTCTACCCTTGCATTGAGCCAAATAGTTTTTAAATAATTCATTTTGAGAAAATTCTCTAGCAACTGTTTTAAATTAAACCAGCTTATCCAACAGTTTCTATAATGATAGCTAAAAATGGATTGTTTTTTGTTTGTTTGCTTTTGTTATTTGTTTTTCATAATCCCACTGTAACTTTTTTCTTTTTAAAAACGCTGTATAGTCTATTTTTTCTTCTGCCTCATTTTTCTCCTGACTCATTGACTCTATCGGATAATTGCAATAAAATTTTTTTCGATCTATTTCCAAAGATTTTGTGTATGAATCATCAGTCAGAAAGATAATATCCTGTCTATTACTTGACAAAAATGCAAAGGTGGTAGATTTTTTTCCAGTTTGCAAGTAATCGCAATGTCAAGTACAAAATGACAAATCTAGAGGCAAAAAATGCAATATTTGGGTTAATTGGCTTGCATTGCTTCATAAAGAAATGCATGATTAGGCCAAATAGCAAGCTGCCCTATTTTGGTTTGGATTGATTTGTGAGTTTGATTCATTCGCCGTTACATACGCATTATGCTACGAAATGTATAGCGTGTTTCCAAAGACTTTTAATGTTCCAAAAAACGATCGCAGGTGAGATATCAAGGGTTTCAATATCTTCCAAATGGCGTAGTTTTTTCCAATACTATTCCATATTAAACCAAAGGCAGGCTAATTCGTCAAAATAATGAGTGAGAAGACTCAAAACAATGATGAAACAAGGCGAAGAAGACTTTTGAAGACTTTTGTATATGGATTTTGTTTTTGCTAAAACTACCCTTGAATTTCTTTGTAAATTTAGAACTCAGGACGTCAAATTTTTCTTATAGTACAAAAATAGTTAAGCATAGTTCATTTTACATATGATCTACACTCTCAATCACAAGCAATTATCATGAATGTTTTGCGCTAAAAGTCATTTACACGGGATTTCATGGAGGTAACGGAGCCTTTGTTCATATGTAAATTGTAAAAGAGATTAGGGAAGGAAACAGAAGCGCTATTATAATGTATGGTGGTGCATTTCCGAGAAGAAAAAAAGCGGTTAATTTCTAATTAAGATGAGCGGTTTCAAGGAGTACGAAGAGTGCTCATTGCTTTTTTTTTAGCTTGGGGGCAGAGCTGTTATCCTCTCGCAGGATCATTAATCATCCTCATACTTAAGTTCTGTGAAGAAAGGTTGTGAAAGGTCATATTGAAATCTTTATACAAAATAATAGTAATCATTCATTCAAATACTCGGGTTATTCAATCAAATGCAAACCTATGGTAAATCGATGTTCCATTCAGATTCAGTCCTATAATTATTGATGCCATGTATTACAGAGTTCGAATTACTCTTTGAAGCTTATGTTATTCTTCTTTGAGTCGTCAAAATGCTCAGTTTCCTGCACAGTTTTCGGTGCTTCAGTTCGTCCAGTTTCGGAACTGCGGTTCTCGGTAAATCGGCCGACAACACACGATTTAGTAGCTTCTTCTTCGCTTCCAAAAGAGGAGTCGGCTGAACGGCGAGAGTGTCCAAGAACATGAACTCCGAGTTCCAAGTCGGGAAGCGACTCGTACCGCAAACGACGTCCCAGAAAGTGGAAATATGTCCGAAGTTCTTTACGAGAAACTTATGATGACCCGAATGAAAAGCTGAACCGACGAGATACTTCTGGAATTTAGTGCAGACGTCAAAATATCCCTCGTGTACTCCGAAAGCGGACAGGTGTGAAAAGACGAGGAGAGTCATGAAGGTTATCAGGTGCATGGGGAACAGATAGCAGCCAGCCATATACGGAAGTCCGGTCATGAAGCTGTCGAGGGGGTGGAAGGCGTAGCTGGCAAAGGGGGTGGGGATGACGAACTGGTGGTGTCGTTTGTGCACGTGTCGGTACATGATGGGCAGGTGGGCGAAGCGGTGCCACCAGTACACTTCAGCGTCCGCAATCACCATTACTAGAAACGAAAACATCTCAATAAGTTAGGGGCCTAAAGCTATTTTTGCGCTCAGAGACGTCTGAAAAAGGACCATAAGGTCTCATGGTCATCTCTCAGGCTTAGGTTAAATGGTTGTGAAAGCAGTTTTATAACAACCATCAGGGTTATAGTAGTCCGAAAACAGTTTATTATTCTTTAAAAATTTCCTAATAAAAGAAGCTTTAGATTTCTCCTAAATTACTCTTAAATTATCAAGAATCAGGCTCAAATTAATAGATTTTTACTCGGTTCGGAATTGAGAGTAAAACATAGTCGAACTTAAAAGTTGAGCGTACGTCATGAATTGGCTTAGAGCTTTAGGACGTCATTCATAATATTTTTCCTAAGGATAAGATTCATACAAAATTGACGAATGCAAGTATTTTAGATGCTTGTTCTGTGATGGGATGTCTTTCTTTCGCCCCTATCAAGGAGCGCAGATCCTAAACGTCCTTGACCTTTTGACCTTTTGAGTTTTTGAGTTGTAAGTGGAAAGAACTGGCCTCATTAAAAACCAAGATCAAAACCATGAAAAAGCTTAGAAAGACCTTACAAATTTTATGCAAGCCTCATTTCGTACATGTTTAAAATTCCTCGCATAGATATTCTCCCAATGTTGGAATATTGTGGGTTTTTAAATCAGTTCTCAATTTAAACTCACTGATGAAGATGACAGCCGCTTCTTGTGCGAATGAGGGGTCCCTACAGCAATGGAGTCCAGAGTAGCCCAGACGCATGGGCGCCCACAGCACTATGGCCATAGGAGGGGTCCATAGAAGTGTGCCGAAGGACACTTTCAGTTCACGCCAGATCTGGTTCTGAAAAGTGAAATAAAATTGAAATAATCGACAAGATTATTGGAATTAACGAAAAACAGTTGCAGTAACTGAGCAAAGTTTCGTTAGTTAAACTGAATGAATAAAAAAAATCTTTCAATTAATGAAATCAAAACCATTCTGTTTGAATTTTTTGAAAAATATTCCAACTTTCTGTTGATAATTAGGTACTACTATTCAGTTCTCTTACTAAGTGTTACATTATGAAACAAAAAACAAAACAATTTAATCAATTTTTGCGCAATTTGAAAATTTTTGCTATGCAATGCATAAAATATATGTGCTGTGTTCGGAGAACAACATTTCTAAAAGAATTAAAAGTTAGGCTCAGATACTTTTCTCACGATATAGTTTTTGATGAAGCTGATATTTTTGGCATTTTTAATTTTAGTGTTTTTTATTCTAGTCGCAGTGATACACTTAATTTCCGGAATATCTTTGTTAGTTTTTACCTTCAGAAACAGAGCATGGTTCAACTGTTTCTTGTCGTAAAAGTACTCGAATCCAAACCAGGCTGAAATCAAGTACAGACACGTGAATAGGATCGTGAACAAAGCCCAGTAGAATACAAACAAAATCGGACAAAAAATCGAATCTTGAATAAATGTTTCCCAGCAAAACGAGACGTCGTTTAGAGAATAGCCGAACAAAGCGGTTTCGAAACGATTCACGAAGTCTCGAACCCCTGTATTATCGCCATAACTTTGCATATCTTGAAGAACTGACAAACAAGTTTGTTTATTTTTGAGGCTTCTTTCAAAGTTCAAATTTTTAGAGGAGCGTTAGACACTGAAAATTGGTGGAAATGTTGAAAAGTGATCCTTTCTGAAATTTTAAATTAAGTTCGGGTCTCCTTTGCTCCAAATTATTGTTTAAATTTGTTGCTTTTGTTTAGCAAGACAGGTGTGAAAACATGTGTTAAATTGGTTTGTGAGGTGAAGCTAAATCTATTTTTTATTGATTCAATTCAAAAATAGTAAGTATGTTTTGTGATAGCATTAGCAATAGAACCCGGGTTCATTGGAAATTTCGAAACTTCAATCGAAATTTAGTTCAACTGATTGAAACACATCCCAATCAAAAGAAAACGATACTGACCTATCTGAATTCAGTTCGCAGTGAATTCGTCAGAACCTAATGAAATTTAGTTCAAGTTCTCATTTTTTGATATAGTTCCGATTGTTCAGCTCCCAGTTTTTAGGGTCACTCAGGGTCACTCAGTCACGTCGATTTTTCAGGGGTGGTTTAGTTAAAAGGCGGTTTCAAAGCTTTAACAATTTTCAATTACCACAATGGTATGTGCCCAATCTGAAAGTCAGCAAAAAAGTGCTGCGAGGATGACATGATTGGTTTCTCGTGAAGCAAAAAGTGAGTTTAACAAGCTCGCCGATATATACACTCGACATGTCATATAATAGTATTATAAATAAAGATGTGCGACTGGGTTATTCAAAAACACCCTTGTTATAATTGACCCTTCAGTGAAAACTTTTATAAAATAATGAAAAGTTTATTGTAAAATTTTAAATATTATTACTACTTTTCTAGGTGTTTGTTTATTAGTAAATCAAAAAAAGATCTGAAATATTTCAAAAAACGTGTCACCGCTACGACAATTTTCTACTAAATTTTTGTACTAAACTTAACTGAGACCTCGTGACCGAATAGAATTGCAGGCACATGCAGAGCAGAGTCCTATCAAATTCCTGTCAAACGAAATACTGAAGCTCCAAACTCTGGAGGTTTTTGTAATTCACCGTAACTTCAAAGCTCTAACAAGACTTTTTCAATGAGGTAATTCGAAGCTGTCCTTCCAAGTTTTTTTGAATTATTTTTGTTGAGTGCTAAGATTTATTCATCGCTGTTTACCATCAAGTTTCTTTTTTGATTTTTTCTAAACAACTATTCGTACTTTCCCTGATTAGATATAAAAATTCTATAACTGTCGCCAAAAAATGACTGAATCTCCACTGTTTCTAAGTGTATTAAAAAAGAAGAAATATTTTTGTTAAAAACAGGGGCGGATTTAGGGGTTTCTCGAGAGGGGCGGGGGTTCTGGGTCGGCAAGGGGTCGAATCCCTGAATGGGGTGGGGTCGCGTCCGCCCCTCCCCCTAAATCCGCCACTGGTTAAAAGCAGTAGCGGATTTAGGGGGCGGACGCCCCCTTTTAGGGATTCGCCCGCTGACTACCCAAAGGATCCCCCTTTGGTGCTATTTTAATACCTTCGTTTTTGTTTTGCTGACCCTGAAGTTTTTGAAAAGGCAATAGTTTATATTGCTTTTGAGGGGGGAGTGCGCTTAAAAGCTTAAAAAAACCCAATTTTTTGGTCAAAACTGTCCAAAAAGGGCCTAAAAACGCCTTTTTTGACATGTTTGTTTCAAAAACTCGCCTGTAGAAAATTAAGCATAAGCAGGGTCTATTTAGTGATTTGGGAGCGCTCGGAAAATCAATTTGGTTGACAAAAACTTCGAACATTTTTTGAAAATCCACCCCTCTCGAGAAAACCTCGATCCACCCCTGGTTAAAAGAGTGTTATTTTTATCAAGGTCTCAGAAGTTCTGAAATTTGATTGCTATTAATTGCACTCTCATATCACAAATTAATAAAAGCTATTTATTAAAACTGAGTTCGCTAACTTCACACAAAAATAAGGTCATGCAAGGTCAACTAGTTTTGATAAATAATTATTCTGGAGCATAAAAGGTCATTCGGTCAAACAGTTTTTGGAATTGCATATCTTTCCGGATTCGATTCAGCAGATGTAACAAAAGTATATTTGTATAAAAAGAAAAATATTGAAACCCAAGCATTGGTCTTAAAAAAGTAGAAAAAAGATTGGTTCAAAATTAGAAAATAATAGAAATAAAATTGTGTAGAGAGTTATTTATAGATTTTATCCGGAAAAAGATAAATGCGGTTATTTACTATGTACCAGAGCAAAGAGAACACCACCTGTAACTTTATTGGTTTCTATAAATCTCTAAAAATATCAAAATATCCGATGACAAAAAATTTCCAGTTGCGCCATGAAGCTTTCTTTTATAACCTTTTATAGTGACCTCAGTTCAACCCTCATTATAAATTATCATGCGGTTTATGCGAAATGGAAAGGATCTTTCAAAGCAAGTAAAAATAATTAGCCATAGACCAGAGAGCTTTTCAGATTTCCAAATTGATATCAACCTCTCAAAAATCGGTGCTTTTTATCTTCTAATTAAAAGTTTTTTTTTCAAATCTGACAAGAGTTATCCATCTGTTGCATGTTTAAAAACGGAGTTAAATTTTGACAATTATTTTCCAGATTTTGAGAAATTTAAATTGAAAAATTCACAAAAAAACTGTGGCCTAGAAAGAGGATCCATGGAATCACCTTCGTCGTAAAATTTCATTGCATCATAAATTTCTTTATTTTACGTAAATTTCTGTTTATGGCGACAAACGGCTTCTTGCAAGCACAAGTTTAATCAAGTTTAGAAAGCAGATGATTACAAATTCCAGATAGAACCATGAACGAAAATACTGAATAAACCAGCCGAATTATACACCATCCGAAAGTTATGTTACCGAGTATATAACCCAGTCAAAAATTAGTTCATTTGATTTAAACTTTCGTAACTGTTACATAATTTTTAGAAAACCCTAGTGTAACATTTACGTCTTTTTGGACCTCTGAATGGGTAAGTGGCATAAAATTTTATTGGTTCAGATACCACAGTCAAATAAAACAAGCACAGGCGATGATCTAAATTTTGATTATGAGGCGCTTTCAAAAATTTGTTAACATATTTTTTGGTCAAGTTAACATATTCTTTTTCCCAGCTGTCCCAAGACTGCCGGCGGATTTAGGGGGGAGGCGGGTGCGCCAATATATACTTATTTAAACTTGATTTTTTGGTCAACACTTTCCAAAAAAAAACTTAAAACGCCTGTATGGCCTGTTTTTTTCTAAAATTTGCCTGCAGCGAAGAAAATTTGGTCAAAAAAAGGTTTTTATAGTGTTTTGTTAGAGCTCGGAAAAAGAAAAGCCAAATTGGGTCGACCTAAAAGCCAGGTCAATAAAATTTCGAAAAAAAAACTTTTAAAATCCGCCCCCTCCTTGAAAAAATCCTAGATCTGCCTCTACCCAAAACACTATGAAGACCCTATTTTGTCCGCTTTTGTAGAACTTTCTGCACTCAGGGGTGAATCTTCAGGCAAAAAAGTTGACTAATATATTCAATTTTCTTGACCCATATAACCATGAGAATGGATTTTTTGTTGTAATTTTATCAATTTTTTTTCAATATTCAGTTCTGACTCTATGTTGTTTATGACGAGGGTGATTCCGACAAGAACACCTCTGACAAGCATTATGATTGCCTGAATAACAACACCTCAAAATAAAATTTTCTTTAGAATTTGTCTTTACCCAGATACACCAGCAGCGAATTTAGGTGAGGGCGGGGGGGGGGGGGGGTGGGGTGACGCCCGCTGCCTCCTAAGGAATTAGACACCCTGACGACCCAAAGGGTCCCCCTTTGTACTATTTTGAGATATCCATTTTGATGACCGACACTAAAATTTTTCTAAAGGCGACTTTGGCGCCAATATATACTAATTTCGAGGGGAGAGCGCGCGCCAAAAAAACGCGCAATTTTTGTTCAAAATTTTCCAAAAAGTGCCTAAAAACGCCTTTTTTGCCTTGTTTTTTAAAAGCTTTGCCCGCGGTGCAAAAAATATGGTCTAAATTGTTTCTGTACAGTAATTTAGAAAAGCTCAGAAAATCAATTTAATCAGCCTAAAAAAAGGTTGATTAAGTTTTAGAAATTTTTTGAAAATCTGCCCCGCTCAGATTCTTTCACTTAAAATCCTTGCGTAAATCCTAGATCCGCCCCTGGTCAGATACTTTCACTTAAAATCCTTGCGTAAATTATGAAAGTTTACCCGGTTTTGGATTGCTAAAAACACAACAAAAAATGTTTTTTTTTTTTTTCGTTCGGTTTAATTTGGAAACGAAAAAAAAAACAATTGAATCGTGGCTAAAGTTTTGCACATTGAAAAACAAAAGGCAGTACAATTTTTTAAATCTGACTTGCGTACCAGAGTTTTTTAAATCATTTTTGATTTTAATAGATTTTCAGGGTCAAAATTAATTGATTAAAATTGATCAAAAATGGATTGTAATCCTCTTTTTTGTCTTTTTGTCAAGTCAGTTTTAATCGGTTATAATAGATTATGAAAATTTGCCTAAGAGTTTAAAGCAGAGTGCAGTGCTTACAATTGCGATTAGAAAGCGTTATCAAACTAAAATATAGACTTTTTTCGGGTTAACAACTGGTTTAACAGGATACCTTTAATCACTTATATCTTGGTTCATAATGAGTTTAAACTTCTATGCATTCTCGGCAAACTTAGCAAGGAGGTAACGAATATGCCTGGGATGGAAAAGTATATGGATTCGAATCCGAGCACGTCCTATTTTATCAAATGGGAAATTTTTTCTTTAAAAAAATTGTCGGCCAATTATTTGTCTGCTTATCTGTTGTCCACTTAGTTGTCTCATCTTGAAATCATTTTTTGTTACGTGCTTTTTTAATGTTGATTTTACCATTGGATTTACAGAACCAGTTTTGTTTGTTTCAAGGGAAACACAACTTGAACACTCCCTTCTGCTCTCTCTTGTTCGCTGTATGATGCCCAACCTTTTCGTAATTTCTTTTTTTGTTATTACGGAAATTTATTTCCAAATACGTAGGAAAAATTTAATTAAAAAAAAAACTTCTACTAGTTTTTAAAAAAGGGGTCAATTGAAAGATCGCCAACTCCCCTGTGTGCCTGTAAACTGCCCGAGAGTCCTTCGAAAAAGT